CAGCTGACTAACACCCAGGTACCTATTTACTGCTAGGTAACAGGGGCATTCAGGGTGAAAGAAACTTTGCCCATTTGTTTCTGCCTCGTGCGGGAATCGAACCCGCGCCACAGAATTACGAGTCCTGCGCGCTATCCACCAGGCTACGAGACCGCCCTTACCTTAATCACTGTAATTTCTTCACTTATTCTAAAGTAGGCCTAACAATACATAAAGTTTAACAAAGTATAACAAAAACTAAGCTATGCCTGCGGGCCTCGTAGCCTGGTGGATAGCGCGCAGGATTCGTAATTCTGTGCCGCGGGTTCGATTCCCGCACGAGGCAGAAACAAATGGGTAAAAGTTTCTTTCACCCTGAATGCCCCTGTTACCTAGCAGTAAATAGGTACCTGGGAGTTAGTCAGCTGGCTTCCTGGGGGTGGAGGCCTGGTCGAGGACCGGGCCGCGGGGACACTAAAGCCCCGAAATCATCTCAAGATAACCTCAAGAAGATGCCTGCGTGCCTATTTTATTTGGAAAATCAAACCCAAAAGCTTCGGACGTTATATATTGAACGTTTGTTCTATTATCCCACTATAATAATAATAATAATAATTTTTATTTAGGTAAGGTATATACATAAAGAGATTTTACAAAGTTTGTTGGCTTTATAGATAGAGGTAGTACATACAATGCCTAAAGCCACTATTACGCAAAGCGTTTCGGGCAGGAACTACTATATGTACGCCTGACGGCTGACAGCTGGGTGGACAGCGCTTCGGATTCGTAGTCCTGAGGTTCCGGGTTCGATCCCCGGTGGAGGCGGAGACAAATGGGCAAAATGTTTCTTTCACCCTGATGCCCCTGTTACCTAGCAGTAAATAGGTAGCTGGGAGTTAGACAGCTGCTACGGGCTGCTTCCTGGAGGGTGGAGGCCTGGTCGAGGACCGGGCCGCGGGGAAGCCCCGAAATCATCTCAAGATAACCTCAAGATAACGCCATTACGACCAGCGTACCAAAATGAACGGAATAGGCACAGTAGCAGCTCCCAAAAATCCACGTTTTTTATGCATCGGTTGGTTAGGTTAGGTAGGTTGGTTGGGTTCCTGCATTTGTGGTTAGGAAAGGATGGTAAATTGACGTTGTGGCGAGTTGCTGGACAACCTACAAGGCAAACAAAGGCATATTTTGAACTGTTGCTCGCTTCATGCAGGACGGTGTTCAATCCCCGACGTCCACAAGTGGTTGGGCACCATTTCTTCCCTTCTCCGTCCCATCCCAAATCCTTATCCTGACTCCTTCCCCTGTGCTATATAGTCGTAATGGCTTGGCGCTTTCCCCCTGATAATTCCCCTCCCTCCTCCCCAATCACTTCCTGTACTGTTGACACAAATACTTGTAAACACACCCATAACCCTAACCTAACCTTCCCCAGGCCCATCTATGCACAAAAATATGATATATAATATTAATTTGTTTGATAAAATAATTTTTGAATTATTTGTAATGGTAAAATTGATGTATTAAAATATATTTATTAAAATTAAAATTATAATAAAATTTAACTTATTAAAATTAAAATTATAATTAATTTAATTTATTTATTAAAATTAAAACTATATTAAAATTAAAATTTATATGAAAATTGGACGAGTAGAGCTTCAGGATGAGGTCAATTAAGACACGACATTAAGTTATTCTTTACGACACGAAAATCAGGTCGTCTAAGCCCCTCACTACGACCTGTCGAGGCCAGACAAGTGCACTAATAACTATTAATCGCAATGAAAACCACAATAACTTAATGTATCTATGAAAATACACCTGAGGTCATACAGTGGGATCGACCTCGCGTCTTTGGACTCTCCAGATACGTGGTTATGGAGGTTAAGCCCTATGGAATATACTCGGTATACCCTAAGGTATAATTGGAACCCAAGGTAAGAAAACTACCGAATAAAGTTTGTTTTCATTTGTCTTAGACTCAGTCGACTAAGGCAGTGTCTGGGATGCTCCCGGACGCAGGTTCGAATCCTCATCACGGCCCTTGTGGATTTGTTCACTCTCTCAAAGTCTGAGGCCGGTGGCAGCAATTAGGTGAGCTTGTACGATTGGGCCGTGTATTGAGGCTGGTGTGGTAAACAGTTGAGGCAATACTGGGACGTCAGAATATGTCGACTCCTCTAAGAGGTTCTGGCAATTATAAGAAGCTGGCGGTATCTTTAACGACCCTGGCACAACCGGAATAGCTGGAAGAGGACCATAACAAGCTACTGCACCATGAGCAATGGTTGAGGAGGGCCAGAGGGAGTGTCGCAGATGTGGGATGGAGACGGGACATTGTCACAAGAGTGGTGAGAGAAGCAGTTTGGATCTGGAAGCTGTCTAGGTTCCCAGCTGGTGGGCCTCCAATCACCAGCTGGTGGACCTCTAATCACCTTGTAGCATATTGGTAGTAGAATGAGTGTACTGTTATGAAGTGATTAACATTTGGGCACCGTAATCTGAGGGCATAAAGTAATCTCCAGAGACAAGGGTGTTATAGTGATTAGGATTGGGTATAGATCAATGGAGAAACTGATCCAGGATTAAGGAATTAGGAACTTCACAGCGGTCTACGCCAAGAAATACAAATATTGGAAATGTGTATAATAAATAATTCACAGTGTTTAATTCACTGTTAAAATACAGTGTTTAACTCCCTGTAATCTTGTGTGTGACTTCCTGCCCATACTGTAGCCTCGAGTAAATAGTGACGCGTGATGAATTATCAAATATAATGTGATTCTGTATAATGATTTACTGATGGAGCAACCATCCCTCAACCATGATGAGCTCATCAGTGGCCTCAAGATTCTCTCAACAAATATTGCTCAATGTGTGAAATTCTGTGTCATGTGTCATTAATTATTATTCTATTCAACTTTCAAATTACCCGAAGATGTTAAAATCTTTCCATCACTCATATTTTCTTTCCAGAAAAGGAAAATATACCTTATACTGACAAAAAAAACTTAGATTGAATCACAGACAAAATACACTTCAACACCCTGACAGAAACATTAAAAAAATTAATTATAAAAAATTGTCGTGCTGCAAATGACTCGAATGTTATCTCGAGAAAATCTGTCATCTCCTTCACACACATAAACGTCGACATAAATTCTTACAAGAATATTTCCAGGTCGGTTAATGGTTTTAATGACCTCTTAAATTTTCCATAATACATCACTCCAACTTTCTTGACCCGGCAAATGAAGGTGACACAGGCACTTAATCCTTTGGCACTCAATGTATGTTGCTTGCAACACTCCCACACACACACACACACACACACACACACACACACACACACACACACACACACACACACACACACACACATACCCTTTTGGGGAGTTGCAAGCAACATACTTTTGGAACTCATTTTGATTTGAGTATGTTGAGTACCAATACACCCTTGGTACTCTATGACCCATGAACACTGACTGCATCATGACCTTAAGAGCCGAGTATATTGAGTGCAACACAACCTTAGCACACATTGACCCCCATATATCTTGAGTGCAACACTACCTTAGCACACATTGACCCCCATATATCTTGAGTGCAACACAACCTTAGCACACATTGACCCCCATATATCTTGAGTGCAACACAACCTTAGCACACATTGACCCCCATATATCTTGAGTGCAACACAACCTTAGCACACATTGACCCCCATATATCTTGAGTGCAACACAACCTTAGCACACATTGACCCCCATATATCTTGAGTGCAACACAACCTTAGCACACATTGACCCCCATATATCTTGAGTGCAACACAACCTTAGCACACATTGACCCCCATATATCTTGAGTGCAACACAACCTTAGCACACATTGACCCCCATATATCTTGAGTGCAACACAACCTTAGCACACATTGACCCCCATATATCTTGAGTGCAACACAACCTTAGCACACATTGACCCCCATATATCTTGAGTGCAACACAACCTTAGCACACATTGACCCCCATATATCTTGAGTGCAACACAACCTTAGCACACATTGACCCCCATATATCTTGAGTGCAACACAACCTTAGCACACATTGACCCCATATATCTTGAGTGCAACACAACCTTAGCACACATTGACCCCCATATATCTTGAGTGCAACACAACCTTAGCACACATTGACCCCCATATATCTTGAGTGCAACACAACCTTAGCACACATTGACCCCCATATATCTTGAGTGCAACACAACCTTAGCACACATTGACCCCCATATATCTTGAGTGCAACACAACCTTAGCACACATTGACCCCCATATATCTTGAGTGCAACACAACCTTAGCACACATTGACCCCCATATATCTTGAGTGCAACACAACCTTAGCACACATTGACCCCCATATATCTTGAGTGCAACACCAGATGAACACATATTCAGAGTCTCTGAGCACCTGTGGATCAATGAAGCAGTTGTCAATCAGTGTCTGCTCCGGGAAGAAGCACTGCAAATACATTCCCAGCTGTCAAGTATAAGATATATAACGTTTTCCAGCTGTCAAATGTGAATATACTGGTTTCTAACTTTCAAATATAATTATACCCCATTTTCAACAGTAAAAGTGAGTATATCCCATTTACCAGCTGTCAAAAGGGAGTATATCCCATTTACCAGCTGTCAAAAGTGAGTATATCCCATTTACCAGCTGTCAAAAGTGAGTATATCCCATTTACCAGCTGTCAAAAGTGAGCATACACCATTTACCAGGTGTCAAAGGTGAGTATATCCCATTTACCAGCTGTCAAAAGTGAGTATATCCCATTTACCAGCTGTCAAAAGTGAGTATATCCCATTTACCAGCTGTCAAAAGTGAGCATACACCATTTACCAGCTGTCAAAGGTGAGCATACACCATTTACCAGCTGTCAAAGGTGAGCATACACCATTTACCAGCTGTCAAAGGTGAGCATACACCATTTACCAGCTGTCAAAGGTGAGTTCTGCTGAGGACTACTGTCTGTGAGACATTAGGAGCTGAGACTCACATTCAGGGACGCGGGTGGGAGCAGCGTCCGCGGTAACACTGAGAGAGTCGCGGGTGGGAGCAGCGTCCGCGGTAACACTGAGAGAGTCGCGGGTGGGAGCAGCGTCCGCGGTAACACTGAGAGAGTCGCGGGTGGGAGCAGCGTCCGCGGTAACACTGAGAGAGTCGCGGGTGGGAGCAGCGTCCGCGGTAACACTGAGAGAGTCGCGGGTGGGAGCAGCGTCCGCGGTAACACTGAGAGAGTCGCGGGTGGGAGCAGCGTCCGCGGTAACACTGAGAGAGTCGCGGGTGGGAGCAGCGTCCGCGGTAACACTGAGAGAGTCGCGGGTAATCAGCGCGGCGGAATAGGTTGCCAGCGCGGTGTTGTCTCGCTATGTGTGGTGGGTGAACCCGCAATCATGGGTGGAGTGTTTGGGCAGACTCACCGGTGCCAGGCGTGGTGATCCACCGGTGCCAGGCGTGGTGATCCACCGGTGCCAGGCGTGGTGATCCATCGGTGCCAGGCGTGGTGCTCCACCGGTGCCAGGCGTGGTGATCCACCGGTGCCAGGCGTGGTGATCCACCGGTGCCAGGCGTGGTGATCCACCGGTGCCAGGCGTGGTGATCCACCGGTGCCAGGCGTGGTGATCCACCGGTGCCAGGCGTGGTGATCCACCGGTGCCAGGCGTGGTGATCCACCGGTGCCAGGCGTGGTGATCCACCGGTGCCAGGCGTGGTGATCCACCGGTGCCAGGCGTGGTGATCCACCGGTGCCAGGCGTGGTGATCCACCGGTGCCAGGCGTGGTGATCCATCGGTGCCAGGCGTGGTGATCCACCGGTGCCAGGCGTGGTGATCCACCGGTGCCAGGCGTGGTGATCCACCGGTGCCAGGCGTGGTGATCCACCAGTGCCAGGCGTGGTGATCCACCGGTGCCAGGCGTGGTGATCCACCGGTGCCAGGCGTGGTGATCCACCGGTGCCAGGCGTGGTGATCCACCGGTGCCAGGCGTGATGATCCACCGGTGCCAGGCGTGGTGATCCACCGGTGCCAGGCGTGGTGATCCACCGGTGCCAGGCGTGGTGATCCATCGGTGCCAGGCGTGGTGATCCACCGGTGCCAGGCGTGGTGATCCACCGGTGCCAGGCGTGGTGATCCACCGGTGCCAGGCGTGGTGATCCATCGGTGCCAGGCGTGGTGATCCATCGGTGCCAGGCGTGGTGATCCACCGGTGCCAGGCGTGGTGATCCACCGGTGCCAGGCGTGGTGATCCACCGGTGACAGGCGTGGTGATCCACCGGTGCCAGGCGTGGTGATCCATCGGTGCCAGGCGTGGTGATCCACCGGTGCCAGGCGTGGTGATCCACCGGTGCCAGGCGTGGTGATCCACCGGTGCCAGGCGTGGTGATCCACCGGTGCCAGGCGTGGTGATCCATCGGTGCCAGGCGTGGTGATCCACCGGTGCCAGGCGTGGTGATCCACCGGTGCCAGGCGTGGTGATCCACCGGTGCCAGGCGTGGTGATCCACCGGTGCCAGGCGTGGTGATCCACCGGTGCCAGGCGTGGTGATCCACCGGTGCCAGGCGTGGTGATCCACCGGTGCCAGGCGTGGTGATCCACCGGTGCCAGGCGTGGTGATCCATCGGTGCCAGGCGTGGTGATCCACCGGTGCCAGGCGTGGTGATCCACCGGTGCCAGGCGTGGTGATCCACCGGTGCCAGGCGTGGTGATCCACCGGTGCCAGGCGTGGTGATCCACCGGTGCCAGGCGTGGTGATCCACCGGTGCCAGGCGTGGTGATCCACCGGTGCCAGGCGTGGTGATCCACCGGTGCCAGGCGTGGTGATCCACCGGTGCCAGGCGTGGTGATCCACCGGTGCCAGGCGTGGTGATCCACCGGTGCCAGGCGTGGTGATCCACCGGTGCCAGGCGTGGTGATCCACCGGTGCCAGGCGTGGTGATCCACCGGTGCCAGGCGTGGTGATCCGCACCTGTGGCTCCCCGGGCACTGCTGGGGTGTATTTGCCTAGTTGTGTTCACCTAGTTGTGCTTGCCGGGGTTGAGTTTTGGCTCTTTGGTCCCGCCTCTCAACTGTCAATCAACTGGTGTACAGATTCCTGAGCCTACTGGGCTCTGTTATATCTACATTTGAAACTGTGTATGGAGTCAGCCTCCACCACATCACTGCCTAATGCATTCCACCTGTTAACTACTCTGACACTGAAAAAGTTCTTTTTTAACGTCCCTGTGGCTCATGTGGGTACTCAGTTTCCACCTGTGTCCCCTTGTTCGCGCACAACCCGTGTTAAACACTTTATCGTTATCTACCCTGTCAATTCCTCTGAGAATATTTTGGTAGTGATCATGTCTTCCCTTACTCTCTGTCTTCCAGTGTCGTAAGGTGCATTTCCCGCAGCCTTTCCTCGTAACTCATGCCTCTTAGTTCTGGGACTGGCCTAGTGGCATACCTTTGGACTTTTTCCAGCTTCGTCTTGTGCTTGACAAGGTACGGGCTCAATGCTGGGGCCGCATACTCCAGGATTGGTCTTACATATGTGGTGTACAAGATTCTGAATGATTCCTTACACATGTTCCTGAAGGCTGTTCTGATGTTAGCCAGCCTCGCATACGCCACTGATATGTTATTCTTTAGATGCCAAACCTGCCTTCTGGAGACAGTTTTGGTTTGATATAAACTCCTAGATCTTTCTCTCCGTCCGTTTCATGTAGAACTTCATCACCCATTCGGTATCTTGTGTCTGGCCTCCTGTTTCCATTGCCTAGTTTCATTACCTTACATTTACTTGGATTGAACTTTCGTAGCCATTTGTTGGACCATTCATTCAGTTTGTCTAGGTCATCTTGTAGTCTCATACTATCGTTCTCTGTTTTAATCCTCTTCATAATTTTTTGCATCATCAGCGAACATTGAGAGGAACGATTCTATTATACTTTCACGCTCTGATTACCTGTCAAAGGTGATCTGTCTTGATTACCTGTCCACGTTAGTGGTTTTATAAACTAATTTCAACCAAAACGATAACGACCTTATCCCATATTGCAATATTTCAAAAGGAGAATTTCAGCTGAACTTAAAATCCAAAAGCATTAGATATGCAACACAGACTCAGCATAGCAGGTGCTGCAGTACCCTGCATGCTGCTTGCGAAAACAAACGTCAAATATGAAGTGGTTTATCTTACCCCAGACCTGTATAATCTTAGGCAGCTCAACGCCTGTTTGGCATAACCAAAAACGTCAGAATTATGGTGCTGTTAATTTTGCTAAACAACTCGGAATTGTTTGATATTATGGTTGCCAGGGGTCCAGATTGTGGGACATTAAGTGTGAGGACAGGTTGGTTGTTGGGACATTAAGTGTGATGACAGGTTGGTTGTTGGGACATTAAGTGTGAGGACAGGTTGGTTGGTGGGACATTAAGTGTGAGGACAGGTTGGTTGGTGGGACATTAAGTGTGAGGACAGGTTGGTTGGTGGGACATTAAGTGTGAGGACAGGTTGGTTGGTGGGACATTAAGTGTGATGACAGGTTGGTTGGTGGGACATTAAGTGTGAGGACAGGTTGGGTGGTGGGGCATTAAGTGTGAGGACAGGTTGGTTGGTGGGGCATTAAGTGTGAGGACAGGTTGGTTGGTGGGACATTAAGTGTGAGGACAGGTTGGTTGGTGGGGCATTAAGTGTGAGGACAGGTTGGTTGGTGGGGCATTAAGTGTGAGGACAGGTTGGTTGGTGGGGCAGTAAGTGTGAGGACAGGTTGGTTGGTGGGACATTAAGTGTGATGACAGGTTGGTTGGTGGGACATTAAGTGTGAGGACAGGTTGGTTGGTGGGGCATTAAGTGTGAGGACAGGTTGGTTGGTGGGGCATTAAGTGTGAGGACAGGTTGGTTGGTGGGGCATTAAGTGTGAGGACAGGTTGGTTGGTGGGGCATTAAGTGTGAGGACAGGTTGGTTGGTGGGGCATTAAGTGTGAGGACAGGTTGGTTGGTGGGGCATTAAGTGTGATGACAGGTTGGTTGGTGGGACATTAAGTGTGATGACAGGTTGGTTGGTGGGGCAGTACGTGTGATGACAGGTTGGTTGGTGGGACATTAAGTGTGATGACAGGTTGGTTGGTGGGGCGTTAAGTGTGATGACAGGTTGGTTGGTGGGACATTAAGTGTGATGACAGGTTGGTTGGTGGGGCAGTAAGTGTGAGGACAGGTTGGTTGGTGGGACATTAAGTGTGATGACAGGTTGGTTGGTGGGGCATTAAGTGTGATGACAGGTTGGTTGGTGGGACATTAAGTGTGAGGACAGGTTGGTTGGTGGAGCATTAAGTGTGATGACAGGTTGGTTGGTGGGACATTAAGTGTGAGGACAGGTTGGTTGGTGGGACATTAAGTGTGACGACAGGTTGGATGGTGGGACATTAAGTGTGATGACAGGTTGGTTGGTGGGGCATTAAGTGTGACGACAGGTTGGATGGTGGGACATTAAGTGTGAGGACAGGTTGGTTGGTGGGGCATTAAGTGTGACGACAGGTTGGATGGTGGGACATTAAGTGTGATGACAGGTTGGTTGGTGGGACATTAAGTGTGATGATAGGTTGGTTGGTGGGACATTAAGTGTGATGACAGGTTGGTTGGTGGAACATTAAGTGTGAGGACAGGTTGGTTGTTGGGACATTAAGTGTGAGGACAGGTTGGTTGGTGGGACATTAAGTGTGATGACAGGTTGGTTGGTGGGACATTAAGTGTGAGGACAGGTTGGTTGGTGGGACATTAAGTGTGAGGACAGGTTGGTTGGTGGGACATTAAGTGTGAGGACAGGTTGGTTGTTGGGACATTAAGTGTGAGGACAGGTTGGTTGGTGGGACATTAAGTGTGAGGACAGGTTGGTTGGTGGGACATTAAGTGTGAGGACAGGTTGGTTGGTGGGACATTAAGTGTGATGACAGGTTGGTTGGTGGGACATTAAGTGTGATGACAGGTTGGTTGGTGGGACATTAAGTGTGAGGACAGGTTGGTTGGTGGGGCATTAAGTGTGAGGACAGGTTGGTTGGTGGGACATTAAGTGTGAGGACAGGTTGGTTGGTGGGACATTAAGTGTGAGGACAGGTTGGTTGGTGGGACATTAAGTGTGAGGACAGGTTGGTTGGTGGAACATTAAGTGTGATGACAGGTTGGTTGGTGGGACATAAGTGTGATGACAGGTTGGTTGGTGGGACATTAAGTGTGAGGACAGGTTGGGTGGTGGGACATTAAGTGTGATGACAGGTTGGGTGGTGGGGCATTAAGTGTGATGACAGGTTGGTTGGTGGGACATTAAGTGTGAGGACAGGTTGGTTGGTGGGACATTAAGTGTGAGGATAGGTTGGTTCTTGGGACATTAAGTGTGAGGATAGGTTGGTTCTTGGGACATTAAGTGTGAGGACAGGTTGGCACTCCTCCCCTCCCCCCCACACCCGTGGCACTCCCCACCGTTGGGGGGGGGGTGCCCTCCCCCCCCTCCTGGTAATCTCAGTGAGGTCGGGGCAAGAACGAGACCTCTGGGACGCCACAAAGGCATAAATCCTGCAGCAGCAGCAGCTCCTGCAGCAGCAGCAGCTCCTGCAGCAGCAGCAGCTCCTGCAGCAGCAGCAGCTCCTGCAGCAGCAGCAGCTCCTGCAGGACTTGCTGCTGTTGCTGGTGTGCAGCAGAGCTCTGGATCGGACTACACTGGAGGAAAGAATAGTGTTAACATGATCATGATCTACAAGATACTACGGGGGAACTAACAAAGTAGATAAGTTGAAGAGCGAGAAGGTTAGGTTAGGCGCGTACAAGAACCGGATCTTACGGTTGATAAGGAATTCATGAGTTAACATTATCTCGACCAAGAGGCAGCTGCAGCTCCGTGTGGACCCATATCTTCTTGAGAGGTTATCTTGAGATGATTTCGGGGCTTAGTGTCCCCGAGGCCCGGTCCTCGACCATGCCTCCACCCCAAAAAAGCCGCCCGTGATAGCTGTCTAACTCCCAGGTACCTATTTACTGCTAGGTAAATACAGTTTCAGGGTGAAACTCTGGCCATTGTTTCGCGCCGGCGCCCGGGATCGAACCCGGGACCACAAGATCACGCGTACAGTGTTCTGTCTGCTCAGCCACCTGCTCCCCGGCTATAGTGTTCAGCTCCTCACTTTATATAGGAGAACTTCCTGACATTTGTAAACTGGCAAATGTGGCCCTTATATACAGACCGGAGGAAGACAGGAACCACTGAACTACAGACCGGTATCACTAACAAGTATTCCCTCTAAGACATTAGACTTATCAAAATAAGTCTCGTTCATCATTTAGAACAAATCAATTTAGTTTCCAATCATCAACATGGATTCAACCAAGAGAAATCTTACTTGACCAACTGATTTACGAGTTCTATGACAAGATGACAACAGTTAAAGAGGACAGAGATGGCTGGGCACATTGGGGACTTAGGGAACTGGACCTCATAACATTGGAGGAAACAACAGGGCAGACATGGTCATGATGTACAAGATACTATGAGAGGACTAACAAAGTAGATATAGAAACAATGTTTAAAGTAATGAACAGTACAACGAGATAACATAATTGGAAGTAGGAACCACAGACGAGGCGTGAAAATGTCGGAAAGTACATGTTTTCGGTCTAAGAGTCGTAAACATGTGTAACAGTGTGGAATCCGGAGACCACATTGAATACCTCATACCCGAGACTCCTCTACAAATTAGATGTATCATCAGGCAATATCACCGTGACAAGGCTACTGAGGAAAGGAGGACAGAAGAACAAATCAGCGAATCTGTACGATGTTACAATATGGTTGCAGCTGGTAAACCTGCACACAGAAATAACAACACATGAGACCAGAAGGCACAGCAGGATGTGCAGAAAACCTCCATTGAAGAGCAGAGGTGCAACAGGTACTCTGAGAGAGAACTATCAACATCAGAGGCCCGAGACTGTTCAACACGCTTCCACTACACATAAGGGACATAACTGGCCGACCCCTCACAGTGTTCAAGAGAGAACTATCAACATCAGAGGCCCGAGACTGTTCAACACGCTTCCACTACACATAAGGGGCATAACTGGCCGACCCCTCACAGTGTTCAAGAGAGAACTATCAACATCAGAGGCCCGAGACTGTTCAACACGCTTCCACTACACATAAGGGACATAACTGGCTGACCCCTCACAGTGTTCAAGAGAGAACTTGATAAACACCTCCAAAGGATACCTGATTACCCAGGCGGTGACTCATACGTCAGGCTGCGAGCAGCCGCGTCCAAAAGCCTGGTTAACCAGTCCAGCAACCAGGAGGCCTGGTCGACAACCGGGCCGCGGGGACGCTAAGCCTCGAAAACACCTCAAGGTACCCTCAAGGTAAGGTAGGCAATAACAAATTAATCATTATGGATGAAAAGGATGTGGCCGCGGGAGAGAATCAGTAAGAGCAAGAATCCGTCTTGGATACAAATATCCATGGATATTCGGATTGGAAACAACAGCTGAGCAGAAGAGTTGCAGAATCTGTGGTGAGAGTGACGGACACCGCCTTGACCACTACCTGAGAGAGTGTGGACACCTGAGAGACATTAGGAATATGTGTAGAATAATAAACCCAACATTGTTTGAGTTAGGAAAACACTATTTGTCAAATATCGATATTGTTCTTAAAAGATTGCCCCATTTTACACCTGCAAGATAATGTAAGATTTTAAG